CTAATATACTTTTTTTACGTACATGCTTTAATGTACGTATTCAAATAAAAAGAAGATTGTTTTACAGTTATAGCTATATTAAACATTTAAGTTCATACAACGTACCGTTTCGAGATCTTCATCTACATATATGTGGTTAATACTAAAATTCACAACTGCAAGTAGGCCAACCGGTCTTTTAAATAAAACACATATAACAGATATTTAGTATAAACTTTTTCTTAGTAGTTACATTATACTCTTGTAAGATATAAAAACCAATGTATATAAATTTAATAAACATAATATACATATACAGATATAAACTACATACAAGATGTATAGTGTAAATTATACATATTGTACATACAGTAATAAGATAATACAAAAACTAACAGGTTTATTTAGAAAACTTTGTTCACCTTGGAAATTTATCTTGTATTTGTCTTATTATAATATCCAGTGAAGAAAACTTTTTTACATGTCTTGCAACAATATCAAAAAGAAGGTTAACAAAATCACTTTCTTCTCCTAAATGATGTTCTTGTGCATAACGCACTTCTAATTTATAATTGTGTCCACGACAAAATAAAAGCTGAAAAAATTGGTTGTGCTTTTCTTGTGACAAATAAATGTTTCGTATTGTATGCAACAACATAAAATCACTTATAATTCGTAATGCTACACCTTGGCAATATATCCATCTCTTCCAACTTAACAACAGTCTGCAAATATTTACAAAAATATATATATAAATTAACTTATACACTTATCATTCGGACGAGTTTACTTTTTTCATGATATCGAAATGATATATCATTACTCATGCCACAGATGCTATTACGTTTTTTATAATTGTAGAAGCAAAACGCTTTTTAAGGTCATGTTTATTTAACTTTATATATAACTTTATATAAAAATAAACTAACTTTATATATAAATATATGTGTAAGTGAACTGTACAAATCTATGTACGGTTTGGAAAAAATTGTACATTTTTGTAGAAAATAAGTCACTCGCGAATGTGTAGTATTTTTGCAAATATCATAATACTATATCAAGACTCATGTTGTCAAATATATAATATTATGTATAATATATCAGTACAGAAAAGTGTTATACAAACGTCAGTTGGTACTAAAAAAAATAGAAAAACGTACTTGTTTTGTGCAGGATTTTGTAAATGCCACTCTAATAAATCAGTAAGTTGTTTGTTGCACTCTGAACTACCAAGAATACATGTCCATTTTAACGCTTCGTGATATAATTGTGTATCAATGCAATTCTCGGAAACATTTATATGTGATGTATCTTCAAGAAGTTTATTCAATATTTCTAATGCTTTATCCTATAAAAAACAGTGTAAAGTGTGTGACTATATGTATTATGATTAATCTGTATCTCAAAAGTGTAGCCAAATGTTTTCTTATTTCAGAATTACTTTACATCTATAAAGGTTTGTAATTTGAAACAGTTTATATTTTAATTTTCTTAATATATGTACGTTTCTAAATGCACACTGGTTTAGTCTTTGTTTTTTGGACAATGTCATATATATGTATATTACTTTCCAGTAGCTTTTTCTGTTGTCAGGTGATAAAAAACAAACGGAGGACAAAATGTGTAACGTAAACCATGTTTATTAAAAGACTTTTTCATTGAGTGATTTTTTAAGTAAAATTGTGTTTTGATTCTTTTATTGTGTTCTATATCAGTGCAATGTAGTATTTACCTTGATTTTTGCGCTTTCTGGAAACGGAAAAAGTTGTGATACNTATTGAAGAGCATTAAATATTGGATACCATGTTATGTACCCATTTTCCACGTAAAGTACATTGCCCGCAAGATTGAAAAATGTGTCTATATTACTCATTCTTGCAAAAGGATGTTCGTTGTACTTTGTATTTTGTATTAAAAAATAAAAAGCATCGTCGAGAATTTGGGCTAAAGTGACGTCAGATATTTCATACATATCCCAATTTTGTGGCTCTCCATTTTTCAGAAAAAAACGAAGCTTTTCCCAAGAGGTATAATCATAGTTCACGCGATATCCTACAACAAACAAATGTTTAGAAAAATAATACAAAAAACATAGAAAATGACAAAGAAACAAAAACAGAGACAGAGAAAGAAACAAAGAAAAAAAGCGAAAAAAAAAAGAAAAGAATAAAAGAAAAAACATTATATTATAAAGAAAAGAGTAAATGTAATATAGTGGTACAAAGTTTGAATATACAATAACAAATACATAGGAAACTACGATCATAACTTGTTTGTATTACCATTTTGCTCTGTGATCACGATAAAATCATCTTCCTCAATATTCCAAACAAAGATATCTTTTTTTTCTTGGTTTAGGTGCGAGTAATGGTGTGTAATAGACTTATTTTTTGATATTTTTACATATGTTACAGGTATGTACTTGTGTTCGCACATTTCTTTTGGATTCATTGCGATACAGTCTATAACTTGTATTGTGAGAGATTGTGTGTCATTGTCTCGTGTTACTTGTACCACAGGATAACCATCTTGTGTTATCCAGGACGTTATCACATTTTTTATATTTATATTCTCTAAATGAGAATTCTTATATACATCCGACACAACAGATACATTTTTCCATAAAATATCGCTAATAGACTGTTTATTAAATGTATCACTTGATGTATTCTTCCTAATAACAACAAAGATCATAACACAAAAATATTGATTGTTTTTTTATTTTAAAAAACAAATATTTAATACTTTGTTTACGTTATCTTTAATGCAATTTACAGTTTACTATACATTTTTCAAGTATTTTAATAGTTATTACTTACGTGGTAGAATATAATTTTATGGCTTCTTCAAAAATAGAGTTGTATAACACATTTTTCTTATAGAAGAATCTATTGATCATAAAGAATACACTGAATGCTACAACATAATTTCGATTATTTGAAAGGTATTAAAAAATTATCACAAGAATATGTATATTATATGTATATGCATTTTCATGTTTTGTAATAATTGCGAACATTATTTTGCATTTTTTAATTTTTTGTATTCTTTTTCTTCATAAGTTTGGTACAAATAGAATGAGAGTTTATATTGTTATGTAGTATTGTAATTAAAACCCTAAGCAATGAAAGTTTTAAATTTTGAGTTTTCTTACATTTTTCTTTCCACATGGTACTATAAGTTACGTTTTGAACAAATAGATTTTCTTGTATAAATACATCAGATTCAATATATGCTTGTGTATATTCAAAACCTACTCGTCGTGTCTGGATCGCAATCGATTTCAGTAAAGTTTCATTGTAAAGCTATTAATACAATTTGTATAAATACACATACATCTACTTTAGTTTTAGTATTTAGTTTAAGGTGAAAAACTATACTGTTAAGCTATCAAATTGTTAGTAATTTCAAAAAATAGAAAATGTGTTAATATATGCAAATTATTAGTAGTAATATCACTCGAGAATTTCTGTAAATATATTACAAAGTCCAGTTAAATATAGAATGTGATACTAAAATCTTTTAACATAGTTTTTAAGATGACTACATAATATTTTTTTCTTTCATATCGTTTCGCATATATATGGAGTATTATACATACATATATATGTATATATTTAGCCCTCCGGAGTTACACTTATTTATGCCACATAGCATTGGAGTTACACTGAGTGAATTTTACCGAAGCGATTTTCTAACGCTTATTACTGAGCGTTAAAACAAGCTTTTGAGACGTATTTTTCGAGCTACTAACCAGACCCACCCTCTCCCCTTTCCGAAGATACACACAAATGTTAGTTCCGATTAGGTAAATTTTACCCAGTGTAACTCCGGAGGGTTAGTATTGAAGTGTGTAGAATGCATGTTTACATCTTTTAATAAAAATACAATAAATATACATTTTTTAGATAGTACTGTTACAGTATTATACATATATATAATAGTAAAATGTTTTATTATATTATAGTAATTTAGTGTCATTTAAATCAACAAAATTTTATTAAATGCAAAACTTACTTGATCGACTAAATAAACTCCGTAAAATGTCAAAAACTCTTCAAGGAACCAAGAATCAGATTGTTTCAATGTAACTAACCATTCGCTGAACATTTCTTGTAGCACACCGCGTACAATCAAGCATGTAACTGTTGCTTGTTTTATAATTGAATCTACTTCTCTATTGTATGCAATATTAGCGTCTCTAAAAATAATATTGCTCTTATAAAACTTTTGTCGTTTTTATCATATGTATGATTGTTTTAAGCTAATTTTACCTGAAGAGTACAAGTCCAGTAGTTACTATGGTTTTGTAATTGGTGGAGTTTATTGGAAGTGCTACACAGTGAACGTATGAGACTGATGTGGTATTCTTTTTCTTGTCGTCGATAAATGTCACAAACTTTTGTATAAGTAATACTGCGTATGAAATGTCGGTTTTCACTTGAAATCTAATTTGAATAGCAAGACGTGTATGATACAACAAGAAAGTATAGTTATAATAATCAGTATACTCTTGTAATACTGCTGTTGCTACCAAATGAGTAGATATTATAGGTGTAGTACGAAATACTGTATAGAGGTGATCTTCTTCAATTTCTTTATCACCAACCATATGTGATAAAATTATTTCATTGTANGTATGGTTAAATTGAATAGTAAATGCAGCCTTGATTGCAGGATTTTTCCAATGAGGAAATATCCATTCAGCGGGAATACGCGGTAAAATCAAATATCTATATAATGAAAAAACGTANATTATAAATATACACTGATATGTAACTATTAAAACTGTGTACATCTTATTTCTACAGAACAAAAAAAGAAATTGTTACTGCAGTAGCGTTTTATTTACTCACTTTTCTTTTTTAGTTTCAGGTACATATGGGATAAGTGTTGCAACTTTCTCTAAAATGCAATTATATTTCGAAGTTATCCAATATATTCCAGGTTGTATATCTCTTTTTCGTTGTTTTATTTTAAAATCTTCTATATATTGGTCCTTGAGAACGATGTCAATGAATCCTTCTTTTGTAGAAAATGGCTCGTATAACCAATGCGAATAATTATACCGAGGAATGTTAGTAATGATGTTAAAATCGTATATAACATTACAATAGTGTTTGACATACAGTCGTATTTTCTGGTCTGTACATGAAATGTTGAGTTTGACACGAGAATTGACGTTGAGTGAATTATTATGTACTTCCGCTGAAATATTCATAATATATTCAATCGGTTGTATACATTGTTGGTCTTGAGATAACTTTTCATCAGATGAAAAAGCAAATATAGGTAGAAATATTAAGCAGAAAGTTCCAAAGAATGTAAGCATCTGCATACTGTGCATCTAGAAAATTATTTTGTTTGTTAAACAAGAAATGCATATGCCATTAAAGACGCAATTGACAAATTATAAATGTACACATCAATTGTTCATTTTTTATCCGATATAATTGTCAAAAACAGATGTGTATGACCCATCTAGAATATGTTTATCACTTTGTTTCGATGTCTTTATGTTTATCACGTACGCATATAGATACACTCGCATAATAGTTGTCATGATTGCGTTAATTTGATATATAGAAGGACGATTGGAGAAAGAAAAACACAAAGTGTGCTAGACAATTTTAACAAATTATTGTAGGAATTATTTATTTAAAAGGTAAAATAATCTTCTCGTGTCTTCAATTAATAAGCAGAATAAAATATACTTTATTAAGGAATGAAAATATAATTGTGCGAAACGATTTGAATACAACGGCTCGGGAAAACACAAAAGTCAGTCAACTCGGAGCAGCGGATAACGACTGTTTTATTTTTCTCGTTTAGCAACCTCGGTAGCGCCGCAGCTCGCTTATCTCTTGTTTTTCTTATCATCAAGGACAGGGCGAGTATTCTCACTCTTGTCAGATCTACCGGCATCGATCACGGGCGTTTCGATAATCGCTCGACTCAAAAGATTTTTCGCGCCGCGCCTAATGCCGCGTGGTCAAATAGATTAACATCCTACATTATTATTTGAACGAACAAAGGTATACTCGAAAAGTTTGTCTACAAATTTTGAGCGCGTTTTAATTATGTAGTATGTCACACATTGCAAATTATGTCATTGTAAATACGATATTTTTAGATTGCATTAATAGTTATGTAATAGTCATGTATGGTTTATTTACAAGCAGTAAAATTTATACAATAAGTGATAAATTAAAGCAGAAATAAATTTTTTTAATAGAAAGAAAACTCTTTCTTTCTCTCTCTCTTTCTAACGAATTTTATAGAATTTTACCGTGAGGTGAAAACTAGAAAATATACTTGACAACAATAAATATGAATATTTACCACATAATAAACGAGCTTTTCATAACTTACCATGTTTGAGATAATATCTCTAGCTCCTAAAATATAAATCTTACTTTTCACTTTATACGTATTATCACTATATAAGTTTAAAAACGAATTGCCTAAGAATATCTGCGATCGTGCCTCTTGTAGAGATGATCGATAACTACAAGACAGTCTTTTCCGTGAAATAATAAATATTTATCACGATGTAAACACCTGTATCGGGAAAACGACCTTTTTTCGTAGATTGTGTTTTATGTATATACATATGTATGTATAGAATTATGAGTTTCGAAATATAAATTTTCACTGTTTCCTACACATTTATATGTTTTGACATGTTTTATCTAGAAAATATTTCAGGATGTTAATGTTTTTTTTTAACTGTACAATTAAAATAATATAAAAATCAAAACCAAGTTTTAGTTAATTATTTTTAAATGTGCTAACGGTGCGCTCGCGAAACTGTAAAAGATTTATTGCAAGGAAATTACTTTTCTATGGAAAAAACTTAATAAACTATTTTACCTTTTAAAAAAATTACTTGAACACTATAGCTACTCTGATCTAGTATGTAAATATTTTTTTTGTTACACGCATAAACATATGCGATGACTTTCTGGAGCGTCACGCTAGACGCGAGCGTAGAGTCTTTGTACAGAATTTCGGCCAAACATGTGTTATACGATTTTGTCGAATTGGATCCTCGCACTTTTCTTTAAAATACAGATAAAAAATGTTAGATAGAAAATTAGTTTTATCTTTGAAATATATAAATGGTCATTAGTGCCAATCGCTGGATGTTTGTGCAAAAAAATATATACAAGTAGTGTAAAATCTCTCGTAGACAGATAGAAAGATTAAAAGTGAGTTGAGAAGTCCTGAACTTTTTTATATATATTACTTATAAAACAAAAGTAAGTTTTGGATAAATCACGCTAATCAGCGTCGATGTTTAGCTGGGCGCACGGCAGTGCACGTCAGTTGCGCGGAGGGCTCACGCACACTACCTAGATAACATTTTGCGAGCACAATTCTATCTCAAGGAGTCGTCATATGAACAGCATATAACCAGTAAATCTAGACGGAAGTTTGTACGTAAATATCTAGTCATCACACACAAGAACGACTTATACATCATAAGTATGTAATATACCGTCAAATTAAGAGTAAATAATACTATACGTTAGCAACTTGCGCGTTATTCGATGGTATATTGAATAGATATTAGATAGTTTTTGTGCGCAATATGCACGCGTGTGCGAGATAAAATATGTTCGGAAACAAAATTCAAGCAACTCACTTACAAGAGGTACCTACATACTTATTTAACGCGCGCTAATTTTGCACGCAAGAAATTTTATCTGAGCAAATGCGTAGGTCAACGACGTGCTTTCAGCTAAAGATCGGAGTTGATTGACGTAATTTATTCAATAAATACTCTATTATTATATGTAATAAGAAAAAATAGTTCAGTACTATTCGACTCAGTTTTACTCCTTCTAACTGTCTACGAAAGATATTACACTAATTGTCGAACACTTTGTATATAAGTATGCTTTTAAGTAATAAGCGATAAGTAAACAAAAAAATAATAAGTACCTAAGAAAATGTTCTTTTTGATTCTAACACAATTTAATTCACAGAACAATGGAAATTCAGAAAAAAATGTTAGATAGCATACAAATGTTTCCACGTACATTTTCTTGAAAATATTGCGCAGTGATAAGAATTAAGGAATTGTCACAACATATTAAAGTTTATTGTGCAAATACATTTTTTATTATAAAATTTTGTTATACATACTTTTGTTTGAACATATTAAATAAAAAAACAAAATACATTCTAAATAACATAATAAAATTTAATTGAATTATTGGTTATCAGGTTTTAAAAGCATAAAAATATTATTACGAGTATCATATATCATTTTATCATACATAATACTGTTTTATATAGATTGCTTCTGTTTTATACATTTCATAGTTTTATATATTCAGATAATAATTTTTGCGTGCACGGATTGCGCGCGTTAAATATGCAAATCTTATATGTAATTTGTCTGAATTTTGTTTGTGAACATATTTCATCGCGCACATACGTGCATATTGCGCACAAGAATCTATCTAATACTCATCCAATATACCAACAAATAACGAGCAAATTGCTAACATATTGTAAGTTATTTACTCTTAATTTGAAAGTGTATTACATACTTAGGATGAATAAGTCGTTCTTATGTGTGATGACAATATATTCACGTACAAAGTTCTGTCTAGATTTACTGGTTATATGCTGTTCATATAACGATGCACTGGAATACGATGGTACTTGCAAAATGTTATTTGAATACCTACAGAATGTGTTTTTTTGTATAACGTGTGTTTTATATATTCAGCTGTGAGCAATTAATCTTAAATATACACTTAATCGCGCAGTTGTGTAAACTGAAATACAGTGTAATAGTAGCAATACGTGTATCACACATTTGATTTTATTTTATGATCACTTTGCAAATTATTAAATGTATTAAAGTCTGTAAATTCTACATTTTAAACATAATTAATAAATACTTTTTTGTGTCATAAAATAAATTAAATCTTGTTATACAAAACTAACTTTGATATTAACAGCAATACATAAATACCATTTTCTATTTAAATTAAAACGCATATGTCTATACAAAAAAATTGCTAAAATCATCATGTGATTAATAGTGTAGTACATAATGAGGTACAACCCGAATAAGTAGTTTCTTGCTTCGTATAATCCTTCGACGCTTCACCATTTTCTTCATAATGACGTCGTGTATAAATACTGGCTGCAAAAATTACAAATTATATTAATGATAACATGTTGTATACTTTTGCAGAAGTTTAATAATGTTGAATAATACAGTTTTATAATACAAAAAACAAGAATTACTACAAAAGAAAACAATATAAAACTGTGTATGTGTGAACATATTATATTATATTATTAATAAAAAAAATGATTTACTCACGTAACAAGTACTGAACAAATATAACAATTTGTATTTTAAAAACTTTAATTTGTAAAATAATTTTTAATTTTTATTTAAAAACTATATTCTATTTATAAAACCTCTCACCGTTTCTAGATTATATCTGTTGATTAAATTTGTAACCATCGCTACTACAGTCTTAGTAATCTAAAACCACCATGTAATAAAAATATTGAATGTAATACCTACTAAATAACTCACTATTATATTTGTCATTCTTTTATTGTGCTAAATTACAACTATATAAATAACTAATATACTTTTTTTACGTACATGCTTTAATGTACGTATTCAAATAAAAAGAAGATTGTTTTACAGTTATAGCTATATTAAACATTTAAGTTCACATAACGTACCGTTTCGAGATCTTCATCTAAATATATGTGGTTAATACTAAAATTCACAACTGCAAGTAGGCCAACCGGTCTTTTAAATGAAACACACATAACAGATATTTAGTATAAACTCCTTCTTAGTAGTTACATTATACTCTTGTAAGATAAAAAATCCAATTTATATAAATTGAATAAACATAATATACATGAAAAGATATAAACTACATACAAGATGTATATTAACTACATACAAGATGTAAATTATACATATCGTACATACAGTAATAAGATAAAAAAATTAACAGTTTTATATAGAAAACCTTGTTCACCTTGGAAATTTATTTTGTATTTGGCGTAGTATATCATCCAGTGAAGAAAAACTTTTTACGTGCCTTGCAACAATATGGAAAAGAATGCTAACAAAATCACTTTCTTTTCCTAAAGTATGTTCTTGTGCATAACGCACTTCTAATTTGTAATTGTGTCCACGACAAGATAAAAGGTGAAAAAAGTGATTTTGCTTTTCTTGTAACAAGTAAATGTCTTGTATTGTAAAGAACAACATGTAATCATTTATAAGTCCTAATGTCACACCTTGGCAATATATCCATTTCTGCCAAGTTACCAACAATCTGCAAATATTTACAAAAATAAATATATAAAATTACTTCTACACTTATCACTCGGACGAGTTTACTTTTTTCATGATATCGTAATAATATGTCATTACGTATGCCACATATGCTATTACGTTTTTTATAATCGTAGAAGCAAGACACTTTGTAAGGTCATGTCTATTTAACTTTATATATGAATATATGTGTAAGAAAACTGTACAAATCTATGAATGGTTTGTAAAAATTGTACATATTTTTAGAAAATATGTCATTTGCGAATGTCTAGTGTTTTTGCAAATATCATAATACTATATCAAGACTCATATTGTCAAATATATAATAGTATGTATAATATATCAATAGAGCAAAGTGTTATACAAACGTTAGTTGGTACTAAAGAAATAGAAAAACGTACTTGTTTTGTGCAGGATTGTGTAAATGCCACTCTAATATATCAATAAGGTGTTTCTTA